GCTGGAGAGCCCTCGCTGATGCATGATGTGCACAGGAGAGGGGACCTGACACAGGTGAGCAGTTACCTGGGTGAGCCAGCCTGCACCCAGAGTCCCTGACGCAGGGTGGGGCAGGGGCAGGGGAGCCCCTGTGACGGAGCAGGGCTGAGACAGGGAGTGGGGCCATTCAGGATATGGGGCAGCAGGGGAGCCCTGCAAAGCTGGGGCTGAGCCGCAGGGATGGCTGAGCAAGGCGATGGGAGATCTGGAGCAAGCGCTGCACCAACAGAGGACCAGATTCCACTCTCTATTACGCTCGTTGTAAATCTGGAGTAACTGCATTGACATTAGCGGAGTCGCTCCAGGTTTACACTGCTGCTGCTGCGATGTGAATCCAGCCGTCACCTGCATCGAGAACATTCCACGTTCAGTCCTGCCCTACCTCTGCTCGACAGTGTGTTAGAGCTCTTCTGGGTGCCCGGCCGCTGGGATCAGTGCCCGGCTTGGCACCCAGGCCCGCTCCTCTCAGATCCCGTGTTGGGCCACTGGCCGGCCAAGGCCTGCAGGTCCTGTGAAGCCAAGAATGGGGCCGGCAGCATAGAACAGCGTAAAACCCTGCCTGGTTGGGGAGCTGTGTGCTGGGCACCCTGTGCGGAAACCAGCCACCCCACCGACTGTCTGGGGACTCCTCCCTCTGCTGAAGGCGCAGCACGTCCCCTCTCCCAACCACATGTCCATCTGTCTGTCCATCCCTTGAGATCAGCACCTGGTGGGGTGGCAGGTTCCGCCTTCCCCAGGTCAGAGGAGGTGATTGCTTCCTCCTGCATCTCTGGTTGCTGCTCAGGACAGGTACAAATGCCACAGTGCTGCCATCGGTTACAGCAGAATAAATCCTGATTAGCCCCAGTTGCTCCAGGTTTTATACCGCTGCTGGTGAGATCAAAATCTGGCCCATGGCCTGCACTGAGAACATGCCATGTGCTGGCCCCAGGCAAGGGGGTGGGGGAGCCCTGGGTCACCTCCCCTTCCCCCATTGCTGCCATGGGTTCTACCCCAGACCCTGGGTTCCTCTTTAGCGGCTCACGCCCCCTCAGGACTCGACAGGCTCGGCTTCTCTCCCGCGCAGTTTCAGATCCGGGCGCTGGAGTCTCAGAAGCAGCAGCAGGAAATCGTGCTGTGAAGGAAAACCCAGGAGGTGAGTGCCAGCCCCTGCACCTGCGGGGGTCTGGAGAGCCGCTCGCGGGGCCATGACTGGGTGGGCGCTGAGGCCTGGCTCCTAGATCGGGCCATTGGCAGGGCAGGGCCCTGGGGCCTCTCCAGACGGAATAGTCCCCTCTGCTGTCCCAGTAGGTCGTGCTCCGCCAATGCTGGGTTGTTCCCAAGGTGCTGGCCCTGGGTGGAGTGGATTTCCCACAGAGCCTAGTGGTTTTATGGCTAGGAGTAACCAGGCAGGAGATGACAGTGATTGCGGGGGAGGAAACGCCTGCCTCTGGGGGCAGCTGATCTTCTGGGGTCAGGAAGGAGGAATTCTCTGCATGCCATGTGTGACCGTGCACAACAGGCTGTGTCCCCCTCCCTCCTTCCTGGAGCTGGGTTCTGGCAGCTGACTTGGTCAGGTGACTCATCCAGGCTGCCTCCTGCCCCAGCACCCGTACAGCTTGCGGGACGGTGCGGTGCTTCGATCCCAGCCCCTTCCCAGCCCCTCCTGATGCATTCTGGGAAACTGCTATCCAAGGGTACCGGACCTTCACCCATCCCAGATAGGCTCAGCTCTCTTGAAAGGTGCTCAGCTGCTCCCAGGCTCACTTTGCCACCTGAGAAGTGTTGGAGTCGCTCTGCCACTGGGGTGGCTGGGGGGCGATGCCCCCTGTGGGTGTTCCCAGGAGGCCCAGCCCTCTGGCACTGCTCTCACCCAGGTCTTTGCTCTGCGCCGCCTGGCCAAGCCCATGTCGGACCGGGTCTCTGGGAGGCTGAGTCAGAAGCCAGCCATGCTGGACTCGGGTGCGGAGGTGTCCCCCAGCACCACCTCCTCGGAACCGGAGTCCGTCTCTCGCTCGGTCTCCAGCATCGTGCGCCAGTGGAACTGGAAAATCGACCACTTCCTGGGAGACCCTTCGCCCTCCGGGTCAGACCAGTGCTTCCGAATCCGTGTCCCCCGCGGCCTCGTTCCCTGCTTGGCCCTCAGGCCCCGGGCTCCTGGGTGTTAGATGGGAGCAGAGTTCTGTGGGAACACGGGAAACGATCACTCTATCATCGTGGGCAACTCTGCCATGTGGTTTGACACGTGAGACTCTCCACATTGGCTGGAGGCAGACCTGATGTGTAAATGCCCCTCTGTCCTGAGCACTAGTGGGCGTGATGGCCGAGCGCCCGCCTGGTGGAAGCCCCCGACCATGTCCCATCCCAGTGCAGGAAGAAGTTCCCAAAGAAGGGGATGAGCCAGACCTTCAGCAAGGCGGCCCGGCTCAAGTGGCAGTCGCTGGAGCGGCGCATCTTTGACGTTGTCATGCAAAAGATGACCATCGTCAACCTGGAGGCGGATATGGAGCGGCTGATCAAGGTGAGGTGTGGGGGGCAGTGCCCTGGTGGGGATTGGGTGGTCTGAGCATGACCGAGGGCCAGGAGTGCTGGGAGGCTGCTGGCACCTGGACAGCACCAGCTGAGGCGTTTCCTTCCCACCCACCCCCCAGAAACGCGAGGAGCTGGCGCTGCTGCAGGGGAAGAGGGGAAAGCTGCAGGCGGAGAGCCCGGAGGAGCAGAAGGGCCTGCAGAGCTGAACGAGGAGATCAAGGTGCTGACCGCCAACATTGACTACATCACCGACAGCATCGCCGACTGCCAGGCCACCATCATGCAGCTGGAGTAGACCAAGGTGCCAGGGGAGGGGGCCTGCGGGCGGGGGTGAGGTGCA